ATAAGAGGCTACACTGTACATGTATTAAGGACAGGTAGTGTGGGCCCAATGGTGTCCTTAATAAAGAGGCTACACTGTACATGTATTAAGGACAGGTAGTGTGGGCCCAATGGTGTCCTTAATAAAGAGGCTACACTGTACATGTATTAAGGACAGGTAGTGTGGGCCCAATGGTGTCCTTAATAAAGAGGCTACACTCTATACTTACTCATAACTGAATTAATAAATCCACTGACAGTAAGCTAATGCAGTTACAGTACAATTGATGAATCAGTGAAGACTAACAGTATCAAATAACAATGTGACACATATAGGCTACTATACACATGATAACAGTATAACTGGTAATATGTGACACATACTATAAACTATATCATAATAATACAACTACTTGTAGTACAGGGATAAATGGAATATAGTCAGAAGGAGAGAGAGAGAGAGAAAGAGAGAAAGAGAGAGAGAGGAAAAGTGGGAGAGAGAGAGAGAGCTAGAAAGGAAGAGAGGGAGTGGGAAAAGAAAATTACCTCAACTGTAAGAAGGTGAGTGTGGTGTGAGCTAGGTGTGGAAGATAAGGATAACAATCCTCAAGGATATTGTGAGATTATTTACTGAAGACTTCTAAAGGAAATGAATAAAGAAGATACCACATAAAGTACACAATAAAACCACTTCACCAACTCACTCATATACACATGTACATGTACAGACTATATATAGCCTCTATATAATGGACACTTTGGTACCATCAATCCATGAAGGATAGTAGATTTGACTTTAAGTCTTTAAAATTATTTTGAAACTGAAGAAAGAGAAGAGAGAAAGGACTCTTATATAAAGAACTGAACGGAAATGACATATTAATTAATAATTAACCACAGGATAAAGTATGCACAATTTCACATCAAAAATGAAGAACTATATTACATCACTCATAAAGTTTTAATTGGAATCAGCTAAAGCTTTCTACACAGCATAAGGGCATCAATATGTATCAGAAAATGTAATAAAAATTTGGGGTGATTTCGGAACCATTTTTTGGAAAAAACCATGGACTATAGCCTTGGGTAATTCTCAGATTTTGATACTTTCTTAAAATGGCCATAACTTGAAAAATTGAAGTCGGAATCAGCTCAAACTTTCTATACAGCATAAGGACATCAATATGTATCAGAAAATGTAATAAAAATTTGGGGGGATTTCGGAGCCATTTTTTGGAAAAAACCATGGGCTATAGCCTTGGGTACTTCTCAGATTTTTGACATTTTCTTAAAATGGCCGTAACTTGAAAAATTGAAGTCGGAATCAGCTCAAACTTTCTATACAGCATAAGGACATCAATATGTATCAGAAAATGTAATAAAAATTTGGGGTGATTTCGGAGCCATTTTTGGAAAAAACCATGGGCTATAGCCTTGGGTACTTTTCAGATTTTTGACATTTTCTTAAAAGGACTATAACTTTAAAAATTGAAGTCGGAATCAGCTCAAACTTTCTATACAGCATAAGGACATCATACATTATACATAAATTATATGTACATTTGAGCACATGTAAAATTCCATATTGCTTGAATTTAAAAATTTTCAAACCATAGATATATAACTCAAGTTAATTTTACAATTTTAATCTGCTACAAATTTGTACAAATAGACAAAAATTCACACAAGTGAGTTTCACAGAAAGTTATATGACATTAAAATTTTTGTGTTTATAGTACTTATGGTGAGGCATTTCTGGTAGTATAACGGAGGTGGGGTAATTCCATCATTTTTTCAATAAAAGGTTTTGAAAAGTATTATCTGTTGCTAAAGTTGCTCTTATTCTCAATTATAAATTCAACATAACAAAGATCAAAATCACTTTCACAAAAATAATAAAGAAAAAACAAATATGTGAAAAAATTACATGACCCACCTGCTAGCAAGGCCCCAACCAACCTTCACTCTAATCCTACCTCAGTTAGATCTATTTATTAAATTTTTTAATAAAAAATAAGTACTGACTATATTTTAATCATAATACTAACCTAAATAATATAAGGGATGATAGGAAAACAATAAAATTGAGAATCTCCGAACAAAGAAAAATCCGCCATTTTAAATATGAGACATTCACGTTTATTCACGTGGTTGGAGTATCCGGAAAATAAAAAAATCACTTCAATTTTTGAGTTATGGTCATTTGATGTCCTTATGCTGTTTAGAAAGTTATACCTGTTGTTAATTGATTAATTGATTAATATTTATTATTATCATATTACAGGGAAATGGCTCCATTGTTGGATTATGTTCCTAAACTAAAAGAAGCCACACAAGTTCAGTGCAAGGGAGTGTACTGTGGAATGCCACAATAATAATAATATTATTATTATTATTATTTTATTAGTTGTTGGAGTGTATTCTGAAGTGGGACCAAGTGATGGTGAAATCAATAATATTCCATACATATATTCAACTGTTAACAAGAATACTGATGTAACTCAAATTTAGGTAAATATATACTGTCTGATAATGAATGAATGAGTAAAGGTCATTAGGAGGAGTTATAATCTTTTAGTATATACAATATAATGTGAAGTTATTTCTATAGACAGTACTGTATACTAATGATAGGTATAGAGTGTATGTACAGAGGGTTGGTGGGGCAGACCTCATATCAATAGACAGCAGCCATACAGTGATATCCTGTTATTATTATAAACCTTGCATGTATTAATATAGTCAAGTACAGTATAGTATCTCTTTTGTGAGGTCACCCTCTGGTTAATAGTCACAGTATAGTTTTTCCTATGGACAATATAATGTAAAATAGAACTTGTTAAGTTTTATTTAAAAGTGGTCTTAGTGATTTCTCAATAGGGGGAACAACTGAACTCTACTCTATACTTTAATGATGATATGTATATTGTTACCAGGGTATTTCATACTGTAGATTATACTGTACTGATATGTGATGTGTTAGTGTGTAACTGGCTTAAGCTGTCATTGAATTGTATAAGCTATTATCTAATTGAATAAAATAGAATGACGATAATTTTGTATAGGTTATACACCGACACAACATAAGAACAGGGAATGTCACTGTCTACTTACTACTAGTACTTAATGTGATTATTGATTGTTAATACTGTAGGTCACAATGTGTAAATGAGCTGTTATTTTGTACAAAATTAGTTCAATAATTTTAGTATTATTAGTTATTAATTTTTTGTAGCTTTTTTGTTCAGTGTACTTCTCTTCTAGTTTCCTTGTTATTATCAATTAGTCTTAATAAACAACCCATTGTTTATTATAATGTAATGAATGTGTACTGAACTGAACATCAACAACAATAACAACAACAATAGAAGCAATGAACATACAATATATAACTAATGGAGACTACAATGGAACAATAACAAAAACAACTGTAAGTGAGTAGCATTTGTTGCATTTTGTGGCGGAGCTTCTTCAAGATGTTTTTCCAAGAAATCTCTTGCTTTTTTGTCCAAATTATTATAAATCATCATATTACACACAATGGCCTTCTTTACAAATAGCATGTTCTCTCAAGTTTTTGGGTCATAATTGTCTAGTACAGAATAATTATTAACATTTTATGCCACTTATATTTCATTTATCTAATATGGGACAAAAAATATTTTAGCATTTTCTTAAAGCTTAAAGTCTACTCTATTTAACAATACCAAGGTTCTGTAACTGGTTTTTAGATACAAATTTGTACTACAGATGTTTGTAATGTGTATTTTTTACTTACCATTGAATATATTCCTTTATGTAAAGACTATAATGGTTTGTCTTATACCAGCAAGTAGTGCACTTTGACTGCTCAATGCATACAAATTTTCACAAGGACAGCTTATTTTATTCATGAGTTATTTCAATTAAAAAAAATAGAGTTAAAAATAAAATTGTGTGTGCGTGGGCGTAGTTGCTGCAAATAAATCTTGCTAAGGGAAGGAGTTTCCGGTTGGTTGTGGTTCGACTGTGAATAAATGCTTGTTTAGCCACACATTTGATTTCAGGTTACTCTGTTGAGTCTACAAGGAATAAGCAATATTAATAATAAATGTAAAAAGTACATGTACTTTGCATTAATGTTTACAAAGAACTTTGTAGCCTATTTTCATCTCTAAAAATAATTTGACAGGAATGTCATTCTACAGATAACGAAAAAAATTTTTTTACAGCAATAATAGTTTTTACTGACCTGGAAATATACTGGTGTCACATTAAGTAGTGCCAAGGGAAATAAAGAGTTGATAATATATCTAGTCTTGGGGAAATGTTATCTGTTAAACAGAGATAAGAAGTTAAAAATAAACCTTTCATTGCAAATGCCATACACATGGAGCTAGATATTTCTGTGGCCCAAAATTTCTGCTAATTATGCAGATTTCGAAAACTGTGAAAATTTAATCCTTTAAAATCAGTACACATTGAAAGGCATGGTGATTTTGCTAAAATAAAATCTGCAAAATTCACAGAAATTTTGGGCGACAGTAATTTCTAGCTACAATTAAAGAAATTTCTAGGTACAATTCTAAACATTAGTAGCATAATAAAATAAATCATTTAATGAATAATTATTCTATTAAGTACCAACATCTCCAAATATAGCATCCAGAGTTTCGTCCACCACCATGAACAATACTGATAGCTTTTCGTGACATTCTAATTATCATAAAAATAGCATACACGTAAATTCAAAACTACAAAACTAACAGCTTTAATAGTCAGAAGTACTGTAAAAGTGGAATATGTCATTGCTTGCATTATTTAATGCATGAATAAAAAATTTACGAATTTAAAAACTATACTGACTAAAA